GCCTGTGCTGTCCTCGCCGTTTGGCTGTCCCCACACACCCTTAGTCTTCAAAGGGGATGAGTTTTTCCCCTCCAGTGCTCAGCGCCCGCCCGTTTCCGTCACGGGGAAATGTCCTTTGGGTCGGAACTGCTGCAGGATCCCCGTAGTGTCAAGTTTAACCCTCACCCAGCCCATGCCGGGGTCTTGCCAAAACGCTGTGGCGGCGATTTCTGTAGCTCACGACCCCGGGGATAGAAAAATCTTACAGACCCCGTCACGGGACACCTTGTAGCTTTGCCCTTTCCCTTTACGTCCCTGCTTTGAACCGTTTCTTGGCAGGCTCTGGAGCTCGCCGAACAGTTCGAACCCGAAGACATCCGGAAAATAACGCTTGCTTTAGCCTACCAGAACCGGCGCTGCATCCCTCTGCTCCGAGCCTTGTCCTACCACCTGATCCAGAAGCACTCGGAGCTCGGCCTCAACGTCCTGATGGACCTGATTTTCGCCTATGGTAGGGCGCTCGGATGTTTCGGGACCCGCCGGGCGTTACCTGGGGTAGAGTCCAGGTGATTTGAGGGTGTTGGTTGCGGCGTTAGTGCGGCTGAGATGAAGGAGAAGGGCTGGACCTCACGTAGTCGGGTGGTTTCCAGCTCAGAGCACAAGCTGGGTGAGCCCAGGTCCACAGTTTTCCTTCCAAAGAAGGGGATTTGTGGTAAGAGAGCTCTTTGGAAGGGTGGTCGGTGTGCAGGGGAGCCTCTCCGCCCTGCAGCTAGTGAGCCAGGATCCCCCGAAATTGCCTCAGATCCTCTCTCACCTCCTCCCATGGCCGTGGGTTTCGCAGGGAGCCCTGACCTCTCGTTTCCTCGCTTGCAAAATGCAGCCCTCGGGGGTGGGATATGTCAGAAGGGCTAAACAGGAGCCCTGGCGAGGGCCGGACTCTTCAGCTGGGGACAGCGACACTAAACCAGCTGATTTCTTTCCACCCAAGACATCCTAGCACCAGGTTGATTACAGTTTGAGAAGTGCTGGGCGCTGAATTTACGCTCCTCTTCCCTTGATTACCCAACTTCTGGTGGTGGCAGCAGCTCTTCTGACAAGCAGGGCAGTTGTTGTGGGGTAGCTACGCTCAAAATAAAGCAATAACCCCCATAGACCTGGCCTAGGAGGGAAGCTCCTGCTTCTCCTGGGGACGTTACCAGCTCAGTCGCTCTGAATCTGGAAGGAGGTTCGGGGAGAGCGATGAGCGCTCGGTGTCCCAGCCTCCAAATCCATGCCAGGCACCTTTTTTGGAGGCGGGGCTGTGGGCGCTCCGGCTGGAGGGAACGTACGAGCTCGGGTCGCACGCAGAGTTCACGTCGGCCGTTAAACCCTACAAATCCAACGGCTGGTTTGGGAGCAAGATGCAGTCACGGGCTCTGGCCTCCCCTGCTTTTGACGAACAGCTTCGTGTTTTCCCTTGCGCCACCAGCCTGGCTCCCGTACCAGCTCCTTGTAAGTGGCTGCCGCTTTCTCTTTGCTCCTTTAAGGAAAACTGAATTTCCACCAGCCCCAGGTCTTCCAGAAGATAGCCACCGACCTGCAGCCCCACGTTCCCTCCATGACGCCCCTCGAGGTCACGCGCTGCATCAGGTCCTTTGCCCTCCTCAAGTGGCTCAGCCTCCCGCTGTTCGAGGCCATCGCGCAGGTGAGGAGGAGGAGGAGGGGGCTCGGAAAGGCAGGGAAGCCCCCGCTGGCACCATTTCCCAAGAGATGGAAGCATTTCCCTCCCCCGTCACCTCTCTGGGATGTCCTTTCTTGGCCGTAATCGAGTGTGACAGGACTGGCTACCGCTCTCCCCAGGCGCCCTCCCACCTCTGCCCCA